AATACACTAAGTACTGCTGGTACTAGTCATTCCATTGTTTTGGTAACTGCTAGTAAAACATGAAAGCATTAGTGGAATGCTGTCTCTTGTCTTATTCTGCTAATGATACACTGCATATATTGTAAAAGCTTAGAAGTTCACAAAGCAATACAAACATATAAAAACTTGTAACAGCACACTCATTTTCTTATACATCCTGCTACTGGTGCATTTTGAGCTTATGCTCAACACACACACACACACAAAGTGAGGCAGTGAGGAAAAAAGAGGGCAGAAGCAAAGCAAAGAAAAGCAACTTCATTTATATACCGCTTTCATACCACGCTATGGGGTGTCTAAGCAGTTTACAACTGTAAGCTCATTGCCCCCCAACAGTTGGGTACTCATTTTAGCGACCTCGGAAGGATGCAGGCTTCAGTCTAGCCTGAGCCCTGGCTAGTACAGAACTCGCAACCTTGTGGTCTATGAGTGAGTGGCTGCAGTACAGGCATTTAACCACTGCGCCACCAGGGCTCAGTACTGGCACATGAGAAAAAGCAAAGGGAACCAGCTTTTAGAACCATGGTGGAAGTGAGGAGTTAGAACAGGAGGCAACAGGAGAGAAGTTGCAGCAAAAAGGAGCTTTCACATTTGGGACCTTGCTTAAACTTAAGCTCTGTGAGTTTTGTTGACACTTGGCTGGCAGGCTGGAGCTGCACTGTTACTCTTGCTTTCTTTCATCAGAGAGAAGAGGTAGCAGAAGAAGCAAAGTGGGGTGGGGGACTTGAAGCCATGTGTGGAAGGCACATCTCCGGAGGTGGGGGAGGAGAATGGAGTCAATTTTTTTAAAGAGTCCTTCTCTCTCTCCTCTTAGATTGAGAGTCCTTCCTCACTGTAGAGAAAAGTGGGAAGCTGGCTGTGTCTCTCTCCACTCCACGTAGGAAGATTGAGGGTCCTTCCTTGTGGGGAGCAGCAACCAAGAAGCCCCTCACCTTCAGTCTCTGCCGCAGGGTCAGCACGGATGAGAGACTTCGTGATCACTACTTGGTTGCTGTTCCTAAGCTAAATGGCTGGCCATTTGCTGCTCAGGTGCTGCTCCCTCTGCAGCGGGTCACCCTGGGAGCACCAACTATGCATCCACGGCCGCTGCAGGCGAATTCGCCCGCCACAGGCACAGGGTGGCTTCCCTGGGCCTTGGAAAGGCCCCCGCACGCCCGTGGTGG